ATTCGATCATTGATGGATGATCTATACTCGTACAGATTCAATGTACGAGTATTAACGAAGAATTGAAGTCAATAAAATGAACGAGAAGATTGAAAGAAAGAAAGAAAGAAAGGACAGACAAACAGACAGACAGACAGACAGACTTAGATCTATCCTGTTTAGATCGATGGGGCGCGGTATGAAAAGTTAATGTCATTGACATTTGGTGCGTGCCAAGTTACAACAGCAACGACGAGTTCGATACACGCGTGGCGCGCGCGTTAAACGTTTCATAATCGAAGGCACAGACCGCTGAGACCTACCATACAGTTATAGGCCATTTACATAACGAAAGGTACGGCTATCTCTTCCAGTCGATCGTTCCAGCCTTTCTTTCTATCTCTTTTGCTTCCTTGCTTTCTTTCTTTCTTTCTTTCTTTCTTTCTTATTCTTCCTTGCTCTTTTTCTTTCTTGCTTTCTTTCATGCACGATCGAGGCAAAGATGCAAGAGAGGAACTGGAAATAAATTATTGCGAGGCGTTCATTCTCCCTCTTCTCCTTCTTATTTCATCTCAACCGAATGAGTGAGTGAGTGAGTGAGTCTTTGGTTCGAGTCGAACATGATTTTGACAAATAAGGGCGAACTTGAATTATGACGTCCTTTTCAGTCACACTGTATCTCTTAAGTACGTCTCTTTAAGTGTAGGTATATATATTTATGTAAGTAAGTATATGTATCTGTGTCTGTCTGTCTGTCTATCTGTCTGTCTGTCTGTCTGTCTGTCTGTCTGTCTGTCTATCTGTCTGTCTGTCTCTCTCTGTGTGTGTATGTATGTATGTCTTCTTTTTTCATATAGGTACAAAAAATAATTCTCATTGATTTTGTGTTGATCGATATTGCATTTTTTTATATTACGTATTATTCATTTAACGAGACTTGTTTCGTTTTTATTTTCTTACCATTTTTCTTGTTTTTTCTTTTTTTTTTCTTTAATTTTATAATAATAAAAGAAGGATGTAAATATGGACGTTTCGTTAAAATATGTTCTTTTCGGTCATTTTAAGTAAATTTTTTTTTTTTTTTTTAACCATATATACGTATTACATTTATATATCTGTTTCTCTCTTTTTCGTGCAGGTATCGATCCTTTTTTTTTTTTTTTTTATTACATATTATTCATTTAATGAGATTTGAAAATTTTGAAACAGTACCGATAAGGAAGAAAAAAGTGATACGAATGTCTCGTGGAAATCGACTTGATTATATTACCTGTGCCGAACTATAAAATACTATATATATGTATATATGTATATATATATATATATATATATATATATATATATATATATATATATATATGTATGTATGTACCGTTACGTTACGTCTCAGAAGATAACGATTTTATTCCCACGACATCGAATGGCAGTGACCACGCAGGCGTATGCGTGGAAAGGTAACACGGCCTCCTTAAAATCGAGTCCTCTCTTACATAATAGTAATTAAACGCTTATTATTTAATTCTCGTGTTACGAGATATCGAGAAGTCAATAAGATATTCTCGTAAAATCGAAACGTTACGTTTACCGAGCTTGTTACACGTTTTATGAATATATATCTATACCTATTTAAATCGGCCCACATACGTATTATTTATATATATGTGTGTGTGTGTGTGTGTGTGTGTGTGTGTACTTATCTCATTTACACATAGGATTAGAAAAGTCTTGATAAAAAGAATAGATATAAAGAAAGATGGCGTACCTGTTCGTAAAAGATATAAAACACGAAGTCAGAATATTTTGCAACCTGGCGACGTGGATAAATATATTTATATGTGTGTGTATGCGTGTGTGTGTGTGTGTGTGTGTTTGTGCGTGTATGCGCGCACATACTCGTCTTGGATCGTGACGTTCGATCGAGGAATCACGATCGATATATTGCATCCTCGTCGATCCTCGATCCTCTTCTTCACGATCTTCTCTTATGCTCGAACACTTGTTCTCTTTTTTTCTTCTTCTTCTTCTTCTTTTCTTTTTCTCTTTTTTCGTGTTTTCGTTTTGTTTCTTTTCTTTTTTTTTTTTTTTTCCTTTTCGAACTCCCGCACGAAGTACATTGTTATAAACCCAAGCATATACTTTCCTGTCACGGCGAGATCCTATTATTTATACATCGACCACGAAACCACCCATTCACCCCGTTCGTTACACGCAGAATATCGCATACTGTGTTGTGGTTTTGTATGATTCACGAAGCTGCGGTTGCAGCTTTATAACAGGACAAGGTAGATATCTTGGAGTTGTATTTGGAACATTAATTTTTTCTTTTTTCTTTTTCTTTTTTTTTTCTTTTTTTCTTTTTTTTCTTTTTTTTTTTTTAGTTTGTTTTGGAAGACCACGACGCATTTAAACCAAACCAAATTACTAACTACGTTTATATTTAATACTAAATATTAACTACGACGTACAATTTTATTCACTTGTAATTTTTAATTTTTTTTCTTTTCTTCTTTCTTTTTTTTTTTTTTTTTTATTTTTTTTTTCTTTTTTTCTTAATCAGTGATTAACGTGAAATCAACAACGGACTATCGATAATTCGATAATTATTATCATTTTTTTTACACAAAGCGTTATTTATTTTCTTCAAAGAGACCACGTGTTCGAATCCAATCAATCGCTACAACTATATATATATATATATATATATATATATATATATATATATATATATATTACGATCATATATTAATTCTTAATTAGGAATGTTTTTTTTCTTTCTTTTTTTTTTCTCTTTTTTTTATTTATTTATTTATTTTTTTTTTTCTTTTTTATCAGATAATTACCAAATCAATAAACGATCAATAATAATCCTTTAATCGAATTAATCACGGAAAGCGAAGAATTAGATACGTTTAGACAATGCTATATTGGATTTCCAATGATATCTACCGCCGGTGGGATAATAAACGTCGAACTTTTACTTCCTGCACCGTGCACGAAAATTTATGGACGTCGCAATAATACAATACGGTCATGAATGTACTATATCTATTACACATACTTAAAGTTACCTCTATACGTGTATACTTTCTCGTTTGAATCGCAAAGGAACGAAGTAATGCACATTCGCATTGCATTTTGTAGTAGGTGTTCGTTCGTTCGTTCGTTTGTCGGGAGATAGTAGTAATACATATACGATGGAGAGGTCAGTTTCTATGCACCTTCTACATTCGTATAAATCGTTGATTCCAATAACGAATATAAATACTTTATTTATCAGACTTCATTTATAATACCACAAATATTTATTACCTTTTTCTTCTCTTTTTCATATTTATTTTATATAATCTTATTTCACAGTTTTATCATCCTTATAAAGATCTCAACGAACTTATGAAGTTTTCATCATTTCAGAAGTCAATTTATTTTCTATCAATCTTTGATATCTTCTATTTCTCTCTTTTTCTCTTTATGTCTCTCTCTCTCTCTCTCTCTCTCTCTCTCTCTCTTCGATCGTTACGTCAGTTCATCGTCTTAATAAGAATTTCTAAGACGTTCTACGCGAACGATCGCACGAAACTTCCGCATCTTTCTAACGAGGAAGGTGAGGGAGAAGAAAGAGCAATATATAAAATCTCTCTAAGAGAATTTTAAAAATCAAATTTCACATATAAAATTAAATATATTATGTGTTTATAGATTTAACGTCTTGCCATATGAATGTATACGTTGACAATAATATGATAATGTTTTTAAATTAAGAGACAAACGGTAAGATGTATAACTAAGGAAAAAAAGAAAAGAAAAAAAAAAAAAAAAAAAAAGAAAAAAGGGAAATTTATTAATATCATGCAACAACGAGCTCCGTAAATGGATTTCGATATAAAATATTGTTCTACATAAAGCACGTTCTACTTGCGTGTAATACGAGAATTATCGAAGATATAGACACCTCGTGCTCCTATGAAATTCCTTCGTTGTCTTTCAAGGATAATCGTATGTTGTAGAAATGATTAAGATATAACTATATCGATCAAGAGATAGAGAGAGATAGAGAGAGAGAAAGAGAAAGAGAGAGAGAGAGAGAGAGAGAGAGAGAGAGAGAGAGAGAGAGAGAAATGACAAAAGTGAGCGGTCTTTTCTGTCCTTCGTACAGAGTCGGCATGTCTCTCATTATATATATATATATATATATATATATATATATATATATATATATATTTTTTTTTTTTTTTTCTTACTATATATATATAGAATAGAAAATAAATCTTTAAAAGGTGCTATTTAAATTTTCATTATAGGCCAAGATAAAGTAGTTGTAAAAAGTAAACTTTACGTTTTTCTTCATAATTCCGACCAATGGTAATTTAAGAGAAATTCTTTTTTACGCATCGTTCTAATAAACTAATTCTTCTAATATTTCAAAAGAGATCGAGTCGTTTAGTCGAATTTAGAAAAAAAAAATAAAATTATTCTCGTAAAAAGTTTATGTTCAATTTTGCTTTTTACTCTACCCACACACACACACACACACACACACACACATGTATGAATGTATATATACATACGTATATGCAATGTATGTATATTAAAATACTCTTTTATCTTCACGGATAGATGATCGGTACTTATGCGAAAATACAAAACAGCCTCGTTACATGCGATCCCTTTCAAATCGTGATAAATACGTGAAGAAAATCTTCTTCATTCGTGAAGAAACATTAATTATTTTCATTAGATAGAAGATAATTCTAAAGATGAAATACATATTGAAAATATACTTGCAGATTTAACGATTAATTGTAACGAGTTTCTTCAAGATTGAAAGAGTGTCATCATCGATTTTCTCTTCTCCTTTCTTTCCCTTTTTTTTTTTTTTTTTTTTCTTTTATCAACGATAGTTAATTAATTCAAAAAAAAAAAAGGAAAGAGAGAGAGAGAGAGAAAAGTAAATGGAGAAAAGAGAAAAGAGAAAAGAGAAAATAGAAAATAGAAAATGGAAAAAACAAAAGTGTTGAAATTACCTGTTCCTTTGGGAACCGCGAGAGGGTGGTGACAGAGAGTTCCCGGTGACATTGTTAACGTTGACACTGGCATTGCGAGTATTGCGTTGATCCGCGGAGGTCCTGGGCAATCTAGGACTCCCGGCGGTGACGAAGCCCAGAAGGCAAACGGCGATAATTGCCACCTCTCTCATACTCACGAAACCCTCGACCTCGTTGCCGTTTGAGAGAGAAGAGTAGAGATAGGGAGAGAAAGAGAAAGATAGAAAGAGAGAAAGAGAAAGAGGAAGGAAAAGAGAGAGAAAGAGAGAGAGAGAGAGAGAGAGAGAGAGAAAGTTATCGGCACTTTTTCGCTGAGAAACACTATACAAACTCGTCCTCCTTGTCACTCTTTTTAATATATCCAACTGTAGAAGATTCGATCAAAATAAAGAAATAGAAAGATAGAAAGAGACACAGAGAGAGATAGAGATAAAGATAGAGATAGAGATAGAGATAGAGATAGAGATAGAGATAGAAAAGATAGTATCAATTATTTGTCTGTATGCACTTGATTCTTATTGTCAGTCACAAAAATTCACGTCGAGCACTTTTCTCTTCTTCGTATACGATCAAAGAGATCTCGTTCGAGTCACTCGCGACGATCGAGATGGATCAAGAACCGTCGTACGAATCTCCACGGTAGGAGGATCGACAGGTTCGAACGAAACCCGGTGTGTTACCCGGTTTCTCTTCTCTCCCGACCGTTATTGATCCTTTTTTAACCTTGACACGTACGATATTTGCAAAGTTTATAATCTTAAATAATCTGTATTGCCGTTTTTTTTTCTATCCCTTTTCTTTTTTTCCTTTCCTTTCTTTTCTTGTTTTTTCTTCCTTTTTCTTTTTTGTTTCTTTTTTTTTTTTTTTTGTTTTTTTTTTCTTTATCGTAAAAATACGACCAAGGGATTAACGAAATTACAATCAAATGTCATGTTCTCCGTCAATCGGAATCGTTCAAATACAATTTCTTTCACCGATATTTTCGATTTGGCGATTTGAAAGGACGGGTGGGGGAAGTAAGAAAAAAAAAAAAAAGAAGAAATCCCCGTAAATTTTATCGATCTTCGAACTCCGGATATAAAGAAAATCGTATATAATACGATTAATAACGAGCGCGTATTCACTTGGATAACGATGGATCGAAAATGGGGGATCGTGATTTTTGAAGAAAAAAAAAAAAAAAAGATGGGTTGGTGGTGGTGGTGGTGGTGGTGTTGGAAGGAGGGAGTGGGCAGCGGTAGGGTTTTGGATTATGACGAGAAACGAGACGACGCGGAATTAAACGAAGGAGGAAAAAAAAAAGTAAGCAACGATGTCGTTCGATACTCTCGATCCGTCCTGAAAGACGGCGTCTGGCAAAGTGTCGAGCCGGTTGCTTTCCGCGTCTCCCTTAGAGTGTGCGGCCGCGGCGCACGCGGGAGGAGAACGACAAGCCTCCTCCGATCCGGGGCTATCGAACGCTCGGGAGAACACGGTGTGCCGGTAGCCAACGGAAAGAGTTTGCCATAGTGATGGAAAAGTAGGGTTGTTGCTTCGAAATATGTAGCTCGCTAGGAAGAATTCTGTACGTCGTTGTTGATTTTTTTTTTTTTTTTAATCTTTTTTTGTAATTGTACAGAGTCAGATAGATCCGACTCCTTCTCCTTCTTCTTCTTTTCCTTCTTCTCCACCTCCTTCTTTCTCCCTGTCTCCCTCCTCCTCTTCCTCCTTCTCCTCCTTCTACTCTTCTTTTCTCCTCTTTTCTCTTCTCTCTCTCTCTCTCTCTCTCTCTCTTATTCTCTTTCTCTCTCTCTCTCTCTCTCTCTCTCTTTCTCTTATTACCTCCCTCTTTTCCTTGCTTCCTCACCCCACCCTCTCGATATGGCGTGTCTCTCTTTCACGGAGGTAAGCAAACCGACAGGACCGTGGACACGCGTTCTCAGTCAACTGGAAGACTTACTTTCACGCGAGATCCCGTGCCCGCCAAAGTCTATACCACCTTCTCTGTCGTCTTTCCTCTTCCCCTCTTCTAGTTCTTCAAAAAGTAAGAAAGGGTGGGGTATTCAAAACCGACTGCCCGCGTCGTTAACACGGTCCGATGATTCTTTTGCAATTACGATTTTGACGTTTCTTGTCTTTCTTATCGGATTTGTTATCGGGAAGTAAAAAGAGAGAAAGAGAGAGAGAGAGAGAGTGAGAGAGAGAAAAAGAAAAGTTTGTTTTGTTTTAATTACTTTTTTTTATCGATCAACTCTCTCATGGATTTATATATATTTTACATAATTTAATTTATTTTATTTTCATTTCTTTATTTCTTCTTTAGTTTTTTATTCTTCCTTTTTCTTTTCTTTTTTCAAAGATTATGCAAGACTTTTGTTGTAATACTTTTCTTTTTTATTTTTTTGGTTCGTTTTTCTTTTTTTTTTTTTTTTTTTTTTTTTTTTTGCATCAGACCTTTCATCTTATTAGAATGCACGGTGTCAATCTTGTAAATGATATGAACAAAATATTTGACACATTGATTGATTCATATATTAATTTATCAATTATATTTTAAACGTACCTTTTGCAATGAGATAGATAGAGAGAGAGAGAGAGACTAAGATTAGAAATCAATAATAAAAGATCTGACATGAAAGATATGACAATGAATTATGTCGTATTTATTTATTTCTCAAACAAAGACTATTGATCAAGGACTATTTTGTATTTCATTCTTGTGCCTTGATTTTTTACTTTTAATTATGCTAGTTTCCTCATAGAATAATTTCAGGGTAATGAAGTTGTTATTATCAAGTGAACAAGAATGAAGTTTAAATCAAGGGAAACGAGATCTATCGATATGTAATACGTATGATCTATAAAATGTCGATCTATAAAATGTCGTTTTGAGGGACAAAACGTTAGAGGCCATTTTACAAATATTTTCATGTAACACGGAATTATGACATTATCATTGTTTTCTTCTTCCTTTTTTTCCTTTCTTTTCTTTCTTTTTTTTTTTGATCACAAGAAGGAAGTGACAATGTTTAAACATTTACTTCGTTCGAATACTTCGTGTAATTTATCGTGCGTTCGAGTCAATCACGATCGATCGTAAGTATATAAGTATCGCGATTCGATCTCGCGTAGAAAGGTTCGCCCGAGTGCTGACCAAAATATTATGTAAATTTCTAGACACTCGATAACAGCGTGATTATAAATGGTGCTCCACGATGCCGTAATATCCGTAGTGGCCAACTGAATGGGATAAAGTGCTTCTACGATATTTACGGAGTCACCTGTCTATCTTGTGAATGTTCACGTACCCGTTACGTGGAACTCTCGAAATTCAAAAGATTTCTCAATCCTTATTTTCTTTTTCTTTTTCTTTTCCTCCTTTTTCTTTTCCTTCTTTTTCTTTTCCTTCTTTTTTTTTTTTTTTATTCTTCAATTTATTCCTCTTCATGGAATAATTTTCCAATACATTGGAAAATTATCTATTAGAGAATAAATAATTTCAATCATCAAACATCGATCATTCGATAAATTTTATTCGTATATTATTATTTTATAAATAATAAAATTTCATATTTTCCTTTTCGATGTATTTATATCTTAATTGTATGTAAGATTGTTAAAAGAAGACGTTGAATTCTTTGAAATTCTTTAATTTGAGAAAATCAACACACTTTCTCTCTAATAGAATTTCTATTTCTTCAAGATATTCCGATATACGTTGTTAAATTTACTATGATATTTATTTTAATTTTATTTTGTTACTTCTAATTTTTCAATGGAAAAATACGTAAGAAAATTCTACTTTTGTTCGAGAGTAAAGATATCCAAAATTTTTTTACGAATTTTCATTGAATTCATTTGAAAATCTTTATTTAATAATGACAATATTGTATTCATGTCTTTTTCAATATATTTATATATAACGATTAGATAGTAAATTGTTACAAGATGACGTTGAATCGTTGGAAATTCTTGAATCCGAGGAGATCAACATCCTTTCTAGTCAAGTTTCCACTTCTATAATACATATATTCCAGTCGTTATATTTCCTATAATACTTATTTTCTTTGTTTTTTTTTTCTTTTTCTTTTTTTTTTTTTTCTTCTTTCTTGTCTTTATTTCTTAATGATAAAATCTCGTAAGAAAATTTGTATTTCTATACGAGGGTAAAGATTTGCAAATTTTTTACGAATCTTCAATGAATTCATTGAAAATTATTTATTTAATAATAACTTATTAAATAAAATTGTATGCTGTCTTTTTCAACATATTAATATATCATAATAATTAGATAGTAAATTGTTACAGGATGACGTTGGACTGTTTGAAATTCTTTGACTTTAAAAAAATCAACACCCTTTCTAGTCAAGTTACCATTTCTATACACGTATTACACTCACCACGATGATTTATATTAAACCACTCCACCCCTTCCATGTCCTCGGGCACGAGACGCGTTATTCATCGTGTATCGAAAGCAAAAATTCTTGAGAGCGAATCGTGGGAGGAGAACGATAGAGGGAATGTTTAGTGAGAGTAAAGCCGAGGTATCTGCTCGCTCGATTAAGTACGGATAAATGACCCTCCGTAGAAGATATGGAAATAACACAAGTTTATTAGACCGAATCGTTAGAGTTCGTAGATGTCAAGAATATATATATATATATATATATATATATATATATATATATATATATATATAAAGAAAAAAAAAAAAAAGGAAGAAGTAGCAGAAGAAAAGAGAAAAGGAATTATATTCATTATATTAATTTTGATAAATAATCAATAATACTCATTTCAAAGAAATTTCAATATGTACTTTTGACATTATTTCGATTAGCGAACAATACTCATTATCATCAACATATTACTTTTTATTAGATATTGAATATACGTATATATATATATATATATATATATATATTTAATTGAAATAAAACGATACATGTTTTATATTACATTTCGCTTAAGTTAAAGTGAAAGAAAAAAAAAAAAAAAAAAAAAAAGAAAAAAAAAAGGAAAGAAAGAAAAAGGAAAAAAAGGAAAAAGGATCGAAGAATGTTCGCAAGTACTTCGAAGGAATGAGCAACGAACGTAAAACTCTCGTGGAAAAGGTGAGGGGGTAGAAAAGAATGGATTTACGGTGAGTTACGTAAGTCCTTTGGCCGTTTGCAACTCTTTACTCGTATCTCGGCGTTATAAAAGGAGAACAAACTGTATTTTAAAAAAGTAGCCTGCAGGCGAGGCTCGTTCCTTCCTTCGTTTTTTCCTCCTTCACCTCCTTCTCCACCTCCATCTCCTTCTCCTCCTTTTCCTTCTCCTTTTTCATCATTGATTCCTTAGACTTCGATTTCTTCCTTCCTTTCTTACGTTCCTTCCCTCCTTGCTTCTGGATTTATCGGACTGAGGCCGAATCGCGAACCGCGACTCTCGGAGAACGGTCTATTGCCTTGAAACAACAACGTCGAGCGAAATATTCTTAGTTGCTATCTCCAGGATAACGATCTTCTGTTCTTCTAGAGAATACGTTGGGCAATTCGGATCGATCGACCGATCCTATCGATCTGTGAGATCGAAACATGATCCTTAACCCGTTTACAACCAGTCCATTATCTTCGTTATGAATTTATATTTATTAATTTTGGCTATCATTTTTTCCGTTTTCTTCTTTTTTTTTTGTTTTTTTTTTTGTTTTCTTTTTGTTTTGTTTTTTTTTTCTTTTTTTTTTTTTTTTTTTTACTTTTTATAAATCGATCGATCGGTCCATAGGATCGAGACATGATCCTTACAAAGTTTACGAGTTCGTTAAGAATGAATTTATATTTATTAATTTTGAATATTATTATTTTCTGTTCTTTTTTTTTTCTTTTTTTTTTTTATTATCCTTATCCCGTTATTAGTACATTGTCGTTATGAATTTATATTCAGTAATTTTTGATATCATTTTTTATTTTTATTTTTTTTTCTTTATGTTACTTTTTAGTTTATTTTTTTTTTCTTTTCTTCTTTTTTTTTTTCTTTTCTTCTTTTTTTTTTCTTGGTTTTTAAATCGAAACATGATCCTTATCTCGTTTATAATAACATAATCCATGAGTCCGTTATTTTTGAGATTTAATTAATTTATTTATTTATTTATTTATTTATTTTTTTTTTTTTTTTTTTTATATTAATCGAAACACAATCTCTGTCTTACTTATGTCCGGAGTTAGCCATCGATAAAAATGTAGCATTTATTAATTTTTATTAATTTTTTTTTCTTTCCTGTTTTTAGATCGATCGAATAATAACTTTTATCGTATTTATATCGAGAGTTATTATCAACAATGTGTTATTTATTTTTATTTATATCAATATCCATTTATCTCATTTAAATCGAGTTCGGTATTGTCCAGAATGAATTATTTATTAATTTTTTAATACGTTTGATTTTGAATTCTTTTCCTTTTCTTTTTTCTTTTTTTTTCTTTTTTTCTTTTTTCTTTTTTCTTTTTTTTCCTCTTCTTTTAGTTTCTACCAACTTAGTTTCTAGATTCGTCATTTAAAGGATAGTTAATTGGCTACTTCCCTTTTCGACGAAAGTTTGTA